GAGAAGGATGTAGTTTTCTTTTTGATAAAAGGTCTAGAGTATCTTTAGAAGGACATTTTAATCTGTGTGGTTCTAAACCTTGTAAACTGAATTGCCTCGAGGGGCACCTAATATTTCTCTTTGTGAAAATAGTCTCAAAGAATACCAATAATTAATACAATGGTGTTTCTTATACCTCTCTTTCCTCCCCTCCCCTCTTTCTTCACAGTCATGCATGTGCTGTAGTTATGTTAGGAGTTGCAGGGGCCTTGTAAGGTCTAGTACATGGATTTTGCCATATTATTACTTCTCTTCTGAGGAGCAATAGTAAAGGAAATATTGAGGGATTTTTTTTGCTTTTTGCGTTCAACAAACTATTGTAATTTCTTGAGCTGTTCATGCAGCTCCCTCATACAGGCACCAGTCTGAATAAACATGTTACTTGCAAGATAAACCAAAGGTATAGGCTATTTGCCATATGCCAAAAATTTTCAATAAGTCCTCAAATGAGTGGACTCATTAAAAAAATTCCAGAAATATCTCTTTTTTTCTTATGTGGATACCACCTGCTGGGAGGCCAGAGAATAAAAATGTGTCAGTGTGTAATGAACAACTAAAAAAGCAAAGGATTTTTATAACTGTGTAGCCTTGTAAATAGTGAAGTGAGTCTGACGTCTTCATTAGCAAGGGCTCGTTTACAACCCTGCTATAATTCAAAAAAGGGAATTGATGTTTCCCTCTCTTTATTCAAACATGAGGTATAAATACAAAAGCAACATCTAATTCAGATTCTCTCGTTCATGGAAACATTACTGCATTAGTTACTTCTATCTTTGTGAAAGTCATTTGCCTGGAAACCTTAAAATCAGTGAGGTAACAGTTGCTTTCCATAACATGTTAATCTAAAATCTTTTGTATTTCTGTGAGAGGTGTACAACTCTGTCTCCCCTCTCCCTCCCCAAGATTGTGCCAGAACACACACAGGCAACAGACTAGGACCTTGAGACCTTGCCTATAATGGTCAACTTTACTGCAGATTTTATGACAGTGCCCAAGGAGGCTATTCCCCCAGCTTTAATGGGGCTCTATTGCTCTTCAGGAGCTCAGCTGCCCAGCCTCAGAGCAAATTAAATGTCCTTAATTAACCAACACTTGGGTATTTCCAAGTACTGCCTTAGTTGACTCCTGTCACATTTAGAACTAACTAGAAAAGCAAGACAACATGTTGTGATTATGAGAAAGGTTTTGCATCTCTTCCTCGCAAAAATGCCCTGAAGGCTTTAGAAATAGTTCTTGAAAATGGGTGCAAAACCTCTCACTGCCTCTGTTCACACTGAGCTAAGTTTCTGAGCTGATGCTGCATATCCTACTCCAGAGTCTCCTCAACAGTTTGATTGGAGCAGTGATTTGTCAAACATGCTGATCTGGATAACTTGCCTTACTTTAAAGAGTACATTACACTAATTTCCATATATTTCACATATACATATATATTATGACTTAAGGGTGAAAATTGATCTGGGTAGTTTCTTTGCGTTTTCTCCTGCAACAAACCTACCAAGCAATCTCAGCATAAAAGCACTGTAGCAAGTGATGTAGTTATTTGTGACTTGGATGAAATTATTTCTTTTGATCACCTATACAGGTCAAATAAATAATGACTTCTTTTTTTTTTTGCATGTCTAGAAAAAAAAAGGGCTGCTGTTTCGAAATTTCTTGGCATCTGCTTTACATCCCTGGTATAATGTGTACCCTGTCTTGCACACAGGCTTTCATAACAAGGGTTGTTTTGGTTTATGTCTTGTTTTCAATTTGAAGTGGATGCCTAAGCTGCATTTATTTATCCTCAGTGCTGTCAACAGCTTAGTTGGCAGAAATATCCATGCCAAAAAAGGTCTTAATGTCAGCTTAAGTTTCTCGGTGCTTTACCTTCTTATTTAGTGTATTCCTTTGGCATGCAGGGCAGGTTGGGTGGTTGATGTGGATGGTTTGACACTCAGCCCAGCCTTTGAGATGCTGCAAGAACACAGGATACACTTCTGTTGCTCTGGCCTTCTATTGTGGAAAGGAAATTTTGATTGCAGTGGAAAGAGTTGCTCTACATGATTAAGAGCAATCCTTTATTGTTGCTATTAGAATAGCCTGGAGAAATGCTTGTGCCTGGTGTAACCAGCACTGTTTCCAAGGAGTCCATCACTGGCATTGAATGTGTACCTCTTTGTGAGCTGCTGCACTCATGCTTCTGCTGGCTTTTTCAAACTAATAGTTCTGTAAAGTATTATGGTGAGTTTATCTTAGTGCAATGTTAGGGAGATTATACACACCTACTCAGAAATGGTATCTCAATATTATTTTGCATCTTGTCATGCCATGGGTTTTGTCCTTTTCCTCAGGACCAGTCAGCATTGCTTATCCCACACTCCTCAGATTTTCAGTCTGGGATCTCATTTTGAAGCCTCAAAAACTTTAGCAAACAAGCAACTGTGCTGCTTGCAGCTTCGGGAAAGAGGCTGAGAGTAAACACTGAAGTGGTGTTTTTGTTTGATTGTTTTGGAGGATTTTTGTTGTTGGTGGTGGTGTTGGTGGTGTTTTTTTTTAAACAAGTGTCAAAACTGAACTGCTGCCAAGAAGGCAGAAGACAAAATGTCTGAAGGTAGATAAAGACAACATTGCTGCATTTCTAAAATATTTGATAAGCAATGCCCAACCACCTCCACACAGAGATGCTGAAACCTGTCCTGCTAAACAAAATTCCCAGAGGCTTCAAAAAATCTTGCTGATGGCAGTGTCTGGCTTAAACTTGTTCTAACTTGGATGTATTTTTTAACTAAGGCAGTTACAAACTTCATTTTTTTTCCTATTATAGCTTCCTTGGGCTCCACTGAGGAGGCTTTTACCATTGCCTCCCTAAAAGAAAGCCCTTCTAATTAGGTTGAATGTAACAGTAAGTGGTCAACTTCTCAGAGCTGTGATGTACCTGTAGCCATTCCCAAACCCAGGTGGGAGGGCTGGGAAGGTGAGCACAACAAGGATGCAGACTGGCAGTAGGAGGGGAAGCTAACATAGTCCTGACTTCATTTGCAGCTTCACTAATGGAAAGGGATAGCAGAAAACAAGGACAAAAATGCCTATTGAGAAGAAAAAAAAGTGTTTTCCCATTTTTCTTAAGTCTTTAACTAGCCTTGGCATTATTGTTACACCTTTTCCTCTGTACACGAACCGTATCATGAAAATGTTGAACCAGAGCTACTTCTTTTATCCCTTCATATTCTTAAGGCTCATTAACAGTCAATTAGAATTAGTCTTGAAACACAGAGTATTATACCTGTAGTACTGTTAGTCCATGAAGAATATTATTTATTTATTTATTTATTTGGGTAGACACGAGCCCCATCAATACCTTGCTCTGTTAGCTCTGTTACCTAGGCTCTAGTGGAACTTACTCTGGAAAGCACACAGACAGCTGATCCTGTATGTTCCAACTGTGCATACTGATTTTGGTGTAAAGCAGAGGTCTATATATTTTGTAGAGGCATTTTATTTCTAGGATAAATTAAAACCAACTTTTTCACTTTTTAAAAATCTTTATTCCAGGGTCACAGATGAAGATAAAGGTTACATCGTAAAATGTAGTTCAGGCTCTTGACGTTCCTCCTGGATTTCTAGACACTAAACATGAGTTTCTACTTCTCTACAAATGTTAATGTTACCAGTTTGCCATTAAACAACAACAAAAAAACCCAACCCACAAACAAATCACCATTTCAAACCCTTCAGTTCTCCATGCTTTTAATACCCACTGAAAGCAAAAGCTTTATGTACCTGTGCTTGAATAAGACTTTTTCATCAGAAGTGCTACAGCCTGTAGGTACTGCATGAGGCACAAGGTTATTTTTAACTGCCCTGTGGAGCTCTTGGTTAGAGGAAGAGCCATCTTTTCTTATCATCCTGCCAGAATAGTGGCACAGCAGGTAGCATGGTAAAACTTCTCCCTATACCAGATTAATAACTTTTAAGGTTATTTAAAAGTTACTTTTAAAAGTGCTAAAATGAGACAATCTAAGTTCTTGTTCAAATATTTAAGACAATATAATAAAAGACTCACTACACATACAGGAAGTACTCCAAGGGGTGCTTAAGACAGTCTCTCAACCACAGATTTCAGAACACCAGCATCTGGGACACAGTGATAGATGTTTATTCACTACATCTAATTTAATTCACAAATACAAAATTTTCAGTTAGATTTTGGAATGATAATTGACCTTTTTGTTCCTTGGATAATAAATTACTTTTCAAAAAAGCTGCCCTCAAAGCTACTTTAGATTGTAATAACTTATAGATTAAAATCTTCATTCAAAAGATGAGGTCATGATGCATGAGTTTTAAGGCACATATATTAAACCAAGTTAAAATCCTATACACACCCAAGCTCATCACTGCACCTCAACCTGAGCTGAGACTTGTTCTTTTTAATGTGCCCACAGCAGTAGTGGTCTGTGCTTTGTGGAACAAAATAAGCTGACAAAACAAAGCACAAAGACCAGGCTTTAACAACAACAACAACAACTCCAGTCCTGTAGAGAAAATATAGCTAAATTTAAATCCTATTACAAAACATGTGCAAGTCGCCTTGTGGCTGTCAATCACCCTCCCTGTTGCAGAATAAAAATCCTCCACATAAAAAGGTAATTTGTCAACCACTACCACCAGGTGTCCAGGAGTTTTCAGTGACAGAGTATACAGTCTACGTCAGAAACTGCAGAGGAGCAACTTTCAGATTCTTGCATAATAAATACGATTAAACTTTGGCAGTGCCAAGACCGAAGGGCTGAATTTCTACTGAACCATCTGCAGGTCCCTGTAAATTATAATTGTTTTGCTTAGTAAGAGGAGAGTTGCTTGGGTAGAAGGGCACTGCATCATGCA